CAGCTGATCAATCGCATTTGAATTCAGATTCTGTACATAAGGTAGACTCCAGTGAGATGATATGAAGCACCTCAAAAGGATAAATTAATGCATAAGAAAAATTTCGACCTAACACATAAAATACAAAAAAATTTCTCACTCTCAAACATTTTACATTTGAATCATTTTCAAATATCGTTTGCTTCTGAATAACAAAATGATTAAATTCTGCTTTTCATTGTTTATCTTAGTGATGATATTGAATCATTTGTTGAAAATTATGCTATTCGTCGTACATGTATTTTACGTTCATTTTGTCGAAAAACTGGTTTACAAATAACAATGCGTGAATATCAATTTGAATCAATAAATAAATCTTCTCGTTCTAATAATAATGAATGTTTTAATGAAAATGATATAATTAATATATTTCCAATAATTAAACATATTCCACCAAAAGTAAAAATTAAATTCTTTAAATAAATAAATTTACACATTTTTATTTAGCCAAGTGATGCATATCAATTTTTTACAAGTGGACAACAAAAAATTCAACAAGGTTTACTTCGTGAAGGTTTTGAATTAATATCTGAAGCACATAATTTATTAAATAATGTTTATGGACCAATGCATCCGGAAATTAGTATGTGTTTAAGATTACTTGCAAGATTAAATTATATTATGGGAGATTATCAAGAAGCACTTATAACACAACATAAAGCTGTTATGATGTCTGAACGAGTTTTAGGTATTGATCATCCACAAACAGCAACAGAATATGTAAGAATTTTTCTTTTTTTGATAATAAAATAGAATATTAAATCAAGAAAAAAAAAAAATTATTTTTTTTCAATTAGATTCATATGGCTTTATATTCATTTGCAAATGGTCTTTCAATAAATGCATCAAAATTACTTTGTCGTGCTCGATATATTATATTAACATGTTGTGGTGAAAATCATCCGCAAATTAGTCTTATTGATGTAAGAGAAACACATATATTTTTTTTCTAATATATATCATTGAATATTTTTTATTTTAGAGTAATCTTGGATTAATTTTACAATCATATGGTGATTATGAAAATGCACTTAAATTTATGGAAAAATCACTTGAATTAAATAAAACGTAAGTTATGAATTTAGTTTTTTTTTGAATGAAATATTCTAACTATGTCAAACATGACGAATTGATTTTCCTCTTGATTTCAATTCTCTGTATGAGAACAGAAATGAATTCATATCGAGTTATCGTGATTTCCTAAAACCTAATTTTTTAGTTTGATATATTATCAGCAACAAAAATTTTCGAATTCAAATTTGATCTTTTGTTTTTTTCGAACTTTATCATTACAATTTTTTTCAATATTTATTTTAGTTTCTATGGAACAAAGAGTCTTAAAGTAGCTCTATCTCATCATCTTTGTGCACGTATTCAATCATGTCGTGGAGATTTTCGATCAGCATTAAATAGTGAACGTGAAGCTTATCAAATATATAAATTACAAGTAAACATATGAAACAAATAAACTATTGAAATTGTTTTCTATCGGTTTAATCTTTTTCTCTCTTAGCTTGGTGATGAACATGAAAGAACACGTGAAAGTGCTCAAGTACTTAAACATTTAACTGAACAAGCCGTTGTTTTACAAAAACGAATCAATGATGTTGTTAAAGGTCAATTACTTGTTATACCGAGTTTAACTGTAAGTATTCAAATTTTTATAGACAAAAGTATTGTGAAAATGTGCCTGGCACATACTAACTAGAGAGCTACGGGTCCATGTTTTTTTGGACCCGGGCCCCGGAAAAACTAAATTTTCAGACCCGGACCGGATCCGGCTGAGTCTAGACCCAGACCCGATCGTCTTTTCACCAATATTTGACACCCTATGTGTACATGAACAGAAAAGAGAACACAATTTTAGCTCTTCATTGGAGACTTTAAAGGTCACATGAGTGTAAAATTATTTCTGACTGTTTCTTTTTCAATTTTGTTAACTTCAATTGTTATTGTTATATATTTCCATTCATAACTTAATGCAGACCGGGTCTGACTTTCCTCTTAGGTTTAGATCCGGACCCGGGTCTGGAAGGACCCGTAGCTCTCTAATACTAACGCTGATGAATGTGTAAGCCAATGGCGAAACTGTACAGTACAAAAAGAATTATGATAAATGGTATATGTTTTTACTTGAAATTTTCTAAGATCCGAAATGTTGTCTTTTGGATTATTTTTTTTTTGTATCAAAGATATGATTCATCCAAAAGATGAGCTTATTTGCTGAAAGATAGCGATCTTTGGATATCTCTGATGAGTACTCGATATCAACTTGATGATCATCGACATGCAATTTTTCTTTAGTATAAAATCCTTTTTCTGAGACTTGTAGGCGACTATTTTTAATTGTTAATGAAATTTCTCTAAAAATTTAAGTTTAGCTTATTGAATTAAACTCTTCCGAGTCTTCTACTGTGTTTAATTTATTTTTATCAGTTTTAACTATAAGCGTTTTTCAAAACGATTTGAGAGGAGATTTTAAAAGTCTAGAAATAATGTTGAACTCAATCTTTTACGATTCTTTTTAGTTCAAAATCCTCAAAACAAGCATATTTTGATGTAAATATAAAGTCTTCTATTCTCGCAAAGGGATTTATTACACATTGATGATTTCCAAAGAGTACTAGATAGTTTATCTTCAGATCAATGATCACAATTCTAAAAATGGTTGATGAACATCAATGAAATTATTTAGTGTAAATAGCTGAAACATCGTAGAGGCATCGGCTACGCTTTCTTTTCAAAAGAACAATAGATACCATCCATTATAATTCTCTTTGTTATGTAACCACTATGACTAACGAGACAATCTTTTCAACTGTTCCCTTCCGATTTCAACTATTTTTTTCTAGAGACTTCAGGTTTTCTGGAAGTTCATATTTTCGAATTTTAATCTGAAACTTTTGCTCGTATGCAGAACTCAAGTAGACTAGTTTACATTAAAAATTTCAGGAGTTTTGAACAAAATCTCTTCGAGATATAAACCCATTTTACATGGATAATGTATACAATATGCATTGTGTGAAAACTTAATATCTCGAAAAGACTTTGTTCAAAAGTTTAGTTGATTTCTCTATATGCATAAAATTTCAGATCAAAATTCGAAAATACGAGTTTTCCGAGAATCTGAAACCTCTAGAAAAAACTATTTACTATCGATAGACAAAAAAGTCATTGAAATCGGAAGGAAAGCAGCTGAAAAAGTTCCTCTCCTGAGTGGGTATTCTTTCTTTCTCTTTATTACGCAGGCAATCGAGCTGCGATTTTATGTCCGATCTACATTCTCAGTAGAGTATATGCATACAAATTTATAGATTTCGCACATGTATGATAGTTGAAATCCATTTCACTCTGAAATTTTTCTTTGATAAAAATATTCAATAAAATAAATTTAGATTCAACAACCAAGTTTTCAAAATGTCTTAGAAATGCTTAATGTTGTTAATGGTATTCTATTTATTCAAATACGAGAAAAAGATCTTGATTTACTTCGTGAAGAACTTGCTAAACAATCAATTGATGATCAGCAATCATCAACAACAACATCTTCAGTGACTACTATATCAGAGGCAGCTAATCAAGCAGCAGCATTATTAAATAATGAAATTGATTAAGACATATAGGCGATTGATTTATTCGCCTTTCAGTCTGATAGTTTTTCTTTTTTTTTTCTTTTTGTAGTTTCTAGGATAATTTTTCTTTTTGTTGTCTAGTCTTTTTCTGTAGACGTTTGTTTCTTGTTTAACGTAACACATTAACCTATTGACAGAGTGATTAAAATCATTTTTCTTTTGTTCGTGTATTAAGTTCGACTAGGCAAATGTGTCATTTGTTCTGCTAACTGATGATTGGAAAATATTATTTTTCAATTTCAGTATTCAGTCTACCTCTGGTTTGTTTGTCGTTCTTTCATTTTATTTGTTTTTTTTTCTTCTTCTTTTGCTATATTACATTGCTATTGATAAAAATAATAGCAATGTTATGGTTCTTTTTTTTGTTTGTTTGTTTGTTTGTTTTTGTTCCTAAAACTTGTGCTGTTTATTGATCGATTTGTTTAGTTTAAAAATGTAAGAGACAGTTGAGAAAAAAAAAGAAAAAAAAAACTAACAATGATTTTTTTGTGCCAACTATTTTTCTCTTTAAAAATATACCGAAAAGTAAAATTGATATGAATTTTATGTGATTATATTGATTAATTTCTAAAAGAAAAGATATTGGATTTGTTATGTTACAATTTGATGAACTGAAAAAAAAAACAGATTTGATAGTAATAAACTTCGTACAAGACAAATGAGATTTGGATCCGGTCAGGTCCGGATCCACAAAAATGTGGACTCGCAACTCTTTAATTGACTTAGAAGTATTTCGAATATGTTGATGAAACTCCAAAGAAACATGTTGAATGTGATATACTAAAAAATTCAAATGATTCTCATCAACTTATTGGATAATGAGCATAGCAATCGCGTAATGACATACCACTAGAACAAGATCTTATTGCAAAAAACGAAACAAACCATTGAGTAAAAACATAATTTTAGTTTTCTTGAAATATACATTCATTCTATTTAATCAAAAAGTCCATAAATAAATATTTCGTCTATATTTTAAAAACTCGCTTAACAGAAGACATCATGTTTTCAAGTTTAAATTTCAATTCGAATATATGTGAACATACTAGAACCTGCCGGATTAGTCACAAATCCAACTGCATTCGAATCGTAAGATTTTGAACTCAACAAGCTCCTGAACATACACTAATGCCTTTCGATATGAATTTTCTATTAGTAATAGAAAAATAAATTATATGTTATAGTTCATCGAGAATCATGTTTTCATTTTAATAATATAAAATAACAAAGAAAGAAAAAAAGAGATAACTACGCGTGTATATATAATAATAATAATAATAACAAGAAGTATCTGACTTAATATATGAAATAATAAAACATAGAACAATATTAAAAACTAACTAATACAATTGATATAAGATTATAAAGAACAAAGACATAACCAATATGAATTAAATATAATGTACGAGAACGTTGTTGATCAGATTTTTTTGTAAAAAATACATAGTTCCAATCATTAAACTAAAAAAAAAAAGAAAAATGATAACTTTTAAAGATATCTCAATCATAAATAATAAGCTAAACAATTTAAAATAATCCCTCGACTGATTCATTCCATATTTTATAAAATATTAAGCATAATTTCTAATAAAAAAAAAAAACTTACAGCATGAAATCCACATAGTATTCCAGCAGTTAACATAGCACTAAGATATTGATGTTTTCGAATATCAAATGCAATTAATAATATATTTAAAAATATAGAACTTAATAAAGTTCCTACATTTGCCATAAAAATAGCCATCCGATGATCACATACCTCATCGCCTTCTTTCAATTGCATTGCTTTCGCCCATTGTTTCTGAAAACCTATTGTTGAATGCCATATAGAACCAAGAAACATATTAATACCAATAATTAAAAGAATTTTTACTAATGATGTAAATGTAAATGATATTGGTAAAAGTTCCAACATTTCTTTGTAACAAAAATAAAAAAATAATCAGAAAGTAGTAATCGAATTTAGAGATAAAAGTTTAGAATAATTTTACTATGTATGATCTTTGTTAAAGTAATATATTGGACTCTTTTAAAATGTGTTTAGTACGTTTAGAAAAATATTTTTGATTGAATGAATAATGATAATTAATGATAGAAAGTTAATAATTTGAGAGAGAAAAAAAAATTATTTTAAAAAATTTTTCGTAATTTAAATGAAAAGAGTTCACTACAATCAATGTAAATAAGATTTTCGATTTATGATCAAAATAAAATATCAATATTTTTTCAAAAACATCCTTATAAATAAATAAACTATATTCTACCCGATTATTTCGAATGATTTTTTCCATAAGTAAGCTTTGTCGAACTATGAAAAGTTTACAAAGAGTTCGCTCTCAAGAACGTTCCTTCACGAATTTTGAATTGTTTAAGTATTTTCTATGTACATGAAAGTAATTGCAAATGTTTTTTTGGTGACTATTAAAAGGTAGAAGGTTGCGAAGCTTTTTGAACGTGAATTTCATGAATAACTAAATTTTATTAGAACATAAACTGCTGATCTTCATAATTTTTACATGCAGTCGAGTACACAGTATTCAACAGTACAATAAATGCTTGGACTTCGTGAGAAAATCATGGTAAAATTTTAAGATTTATCATCTGCAAAATTCTTGAGGTTGCAACATGGGAAAGTCTGGTATAATCTAGTTATTATTAATTTCACTCTCAAAAAGATTTACAGTATCCTATCTTTTAATAGTCACCAAAAACCATTTGTCATTATGTTCACGTGCATGAAAAATACTTGAACAACTCAAAACTTGGTAAGAAACACTCATGGACACAAACTGTTTGGAGACTTATGAGCAAAATATCAATTCAAAAGTACAGTACTGCACGAGTACACTTTTTGGACTCATATTCGATCCGAACAGAAATTATTTACCTGATTCGTGGGTTGCATTATTGCAATACATCGCTGATAGTTTCACAGAACGGTCAATTAACTATATAATTGATCGTTCTGTAGCATCAAAGACACATCGACTCATGAGTTATAGTACACTACTTGAAAGGACACGGACACCTGGGAATATTATTTCGTCTGTAGTGAAAATACGAACGCCTCCTACCTTCTCGCACTTTTATTTACGTCCTTGATACAAGTTGTTAAGAAAAGAAATAATCTAGAGCTTAGTTAATATTCTTTATCAAAATACTTGAATACTATCTGCGATATCATAATCTGAGACATGCAATAATGATGAAAAAGTATTATAATACCATGTTGGTTAAATATCATTAAGTTACAAGATAAGTTTTTCATGTAAAATTTTATCATTTGAAAACTATGAGAAAAAAAAATTGTTCAATCTTAATCTTTAAATCGAAATAATTGAAGTTGTCTTTTCTTTAACATAATTGATTCTACAGTATTTTGTTATTTTTGTAGTATGAAAGTATAATATTCATGTCATCGTACTTCATTGATATAATATTCTAAAAAAGAGATTTGTCAACAGTCTATGTTGAAAATTTTATAATGTTGTTTTTTTATTTGCGTTGATATTTATTTTTTGATAAGATAATATTTAAACGTACACGAATAAAGAACTCAGCATAAATTGTAATGACAAACGAGAAAGGTAAAAACTGAAAAAGAAAAAACATATTCAATATTTTCATGAAAATTTCATCAAAAATTAATTAATTATAACAAAATCATTTTATGGGCTGCATACACTTTAAAGTTAAACCAAATGCGTCGGAAAAATCCAAATCAAATTTATTACATACGAATACTGTTCAAGATATATCAGGTGACTTAAACATATCAAAAACATCTTCGATAGTCGTTTATAGAAATCCATCGTTTATACCAAGAAAATCAATTGTTTCATCAATCATTTCAAATAAATCAGAAGATTTAACACCACGTGTAGAATCTGTCATATCAACTGTATCAAATGGTTCTCAAAATAATATTAATAAAGAAACTTCAATCGATCCGAAAGAACCTCGAATATCTAAAGAAAACATTTCGAATATTCCTCCCGTAGATATCAATATTCCCGTTACATCGAATGAATCACATCGAATTTATCATCCTATCAATTCACCATCAAATCGCTCAGATACTGTAGTATATCGTCATAATGCTAACGATCAATTTTTATCTGCTAGAGCAAACAAATTCAATACATCTCCAGAATCAATACATAACAATAATTATATCGAATCAGATACGTCTTTTCCTACTCATAATAGCATTATCAGTACAATATCGGCCGACTCTGAAGGATCGGTAGTATCTCAAATAGAACACAAAAAAGGTATATTCGTTCGTCCGAAACAAGCAAATGTTCAACAAAAACCTTCTAGCGAATCAGATGAGTCCGAACTACAACATGAAAAACGTGATAATTCAGCAGTCGTAGATGTAACAGCGATGACAGAACATCTGGTGACAGTTATGAGAAGGACATCTACTAAGTTAAACACCTCAGATTTTTATCATAGTGGATCTCTTAGTGAAACAGAAAGTGGTACGGATGAAGTTTAGTTAAAACTATTAGCAACAATTGAGCAAACAAATGAAAGATTTTTTTATTGATCATTATAGAAGCATTTGTTTCTCATGGCCAATCAATAATATATTGACTCGCAACATCGTTTTGCTTTTTTATTTTATAAAAAAATAAATAACATAATTTTTCTTGGATGAAAAATTATTATAAGATATTTGTATGGTAAAATTATGAAATAAAATATTCTGCTGTGTCTAGTATAAAGAATAAAACAGCATATTTCGATGAAGAATACAGTAGCAAATGTATAAAATTATCTAGAAATATGCAAGAATACAGGAAAATATCAACTATGCTTCTTATCTATGGATATTGAGAATTTCGTGTTTTAACTAGTGATGGCGTCAAGAAGCTGAGTAGAATTCAGTGATTCAAAAAAAAAAGTGGAACCGTTAAATCATTAGATAGATGCAAATATTCTTAAATCTATGTTAACAAATCTTCATTTTTTTATTCTTGAGACTAAACATTTCAGTATATATGCATTATATTGTTTTGTTTAAGTGCTGAAATATATGACGTCTTTAATCTCAAGGATTCAGTAGTGAAAATTTTTCAAAATAGATTTAAAATTTTCGTATCTATCTGATAATTTAATAATTTCGGTTTCACGTGATATTTTTGGAATCGGCGAACTCTATGGCTGAACCTCGTAGGCATGGAACGATCTATCATTAACAGTAGAAGAATAAACCCATTTTCAGCTTTAGACGAGGACTCAGCACGTCCCCTCAAATTATTTTCTAGCTTCGCCACGAGTTTTAACTGAAATCAAAAGGCAAACTATCGGACAAAAGATAAGCGTACTTGTTCATTATTCAAAATTCAGCTATATTTTTTATCTTTCTTGTACTCAATGTCAAATTAAGGCTCCCTATCTAAAAAAAAAAGTCCATTTTTGTCAGAATTATCGAAATGAAGATAAATGTATGAGAGGATAGCTTGAGGTCGAATCTTTCACAAACAATATAATTTTTCATTTGATACATGGTTTTTATTCAGAAAAAGTGGCAAATCCTTTTTTCATTTTTTTTTCTGTTTCCTCTTTTGATTGCGCATCCTAGAATTCTCGAAGGAGCTGTATTGTAACCAATGACTTTTTGCTTGTTTCAAAGGGCATGTAAAGTTGCACTGTTCGGAATAATTAGAGGGCAATTTTTTGGAGAATTTTGTCATAAAAAATCTTTGAAGCTGTACACATAACTAGTATTGCACGTTTTCTCTTTCTTAATTTGTTTTTTTTTTATTTATCTTGCACTCACTTGTAAACATTCAATGGTAATACGTTATGTCTTACTCATCCCGTCCTAATTTCCACTTATAGCAATATATTCTACTTAAAATACATTACTTATTATATAGACAAAGTACGAAATTATCTTATCAATCACAAGAATAATGGTATTAACATTAGTTTATCCTAAAGTATCACAAACTATCTGAAGATATTCTTTTTCTTTCATACACTATAATATTCATCACAAAAAATATCAATGAAAAAGTTTGCGACTTGAAAATAAATATTTTTACAAAAACGAACTTATATTTTATTATTCTATTATCCGCCCACATTTTTGATCTACTAAAAACTGTGTAATGCATATGATAAGACGTAATCGATTAATTTACATATATTCAATCACCTGTTTGATCTCCCACAAATTTACACGTTTTTGTTGTTCTTGTTATTAATACAACAATAATAAATTTCAGTATAAAAACAAATGTAAAATCATTTTTTCATACTATCCATTAGGATATAAATATGTCATTTCAAACATTAATTGTCTTTTCTCTTTGTTTCTGTGTTGTCTTCAACACACCTATCCCAAATTCCGTTGAAAATGAAATTGATTATGAATGGCTTGGTAAGTATTTATATTAATTAGTCAATTATCTCAATTTGATTTATCAATTAGGTGGTGGTTTCGAAGGTGATATGATCTTTCCTGATGGATTTGATCCAACAATTGAATCAACTGGAAGAGGTGTGGCTATTTATGGACCTCGTCGTTGGTCTAAAAATGTAATTCCCTATGATATGTCTTTGATTACAAGTAAAATAAGTTTGAAAAATAAAAAAGAAAATAATTAAAATAAAAAGAAAATTTATTTTACAGATGCTGGACATCGTAATATGATTGAGTCAGCAATGGCAACATTAGTAAATATCACTAGTTCACCTATATCAGGTCAAACAACACACAAACCATGTTTTACTTTTCGACCTGCATTACCAAAGGAATCAAACGTTCTTAAGATTCAATATGGAACTGGTTGTAGTGCAACAGTAAATAGAAGAAATATATTTTGTTTAAAACAATCAAAAATAATTATTTGTTTTTTTTTCTATCTTTTAGGTTGGTTTTTCATTTGCTCAAAAAATTATGACACTTGCCTATCCTGGATGTTTTCATTCTGGTATTATTCAACATGAACTTATGCATGTTCTTGGTAATGAATGGAAAATTTTTTTTTTATATAGAATCGATACGTTATCTATTTTCTTCTTAGGTTTCTATCATGAACAATCACGTCCTGATCGTGATACCTATGTTACTATTAATCGAGCTAATATTCAATCAGGTCATGTAGGTTTTATTATTTTATTAATTAAGTAATGTTCTAAAAAATATTTTATTAGGAACATAACTTTAACAAATACAAATGGGATAATACTGTTTTCAATCAAAATACCGCTTATGATTTTAATAGTATTATGCACTATGGTAGTAATTTTTTTAGTAGTAATGGACAAGCAACTATTACACCTAATGTACCTGGTGCAAGAATTGGTCAAAGAGATCATCTTAGTCCAATTGATATTGCTGAAATTCGTTCATTCTATGGTTGTGCAGATTAAAAAATAAACCTATTTTTAGGCAACAATAAACAAAACAAAAAATGAAATGTGTCCAGTTGTTCACTTGTCTTTCAGACACTTTGTATTCTTAATTTGTAAAATCGAATAAACATAATCATAAGTCATTTCTCAAAGTTGAAAAGAACTTTGTCAATGAATCATTTAAAAAAAAACTTGTCAGACTAAAATATGAAATACAATGTAGATACTGTTGGTAATCATAGGGAGGTTGTTTTATTCTATCTATTTTACGATACATTTCTTCATCATCATTTTACTTAATTCTCCAGAAATACAATAAGGAAGTAGTTCATATATGATAATGATACGTTATTGATATACACTCCATGGCGTAGTAGCTGGGTGGATGCAAATTTCTATCCTATATACTTCAACATTTTCTTTACACCGTACCTCACAAAATTCACATTGTTCATCTTCATGATTATTTTTCATAATCGGAAGAAATAATGCGAGTGTGGGTGTGGGTGTGATGGTGAGAGTGTGGTGTGGATCTTGTCTTTCCTTTGTCCACACCTATACCCACACTCACACACCATACTCAGCATGTCTACACATCTTCAGTAAATATCGTACTAAATAATCTGAATTGATAATCTAGAATGATTTCAATATTTGATTCCGTGTAATGACGTAATTTTGCTCAACTTCGTTACATGTGTAGAATCAATGTCAAAGTTTCGTGGGTGTGTGCACATGTGTTTGTATAGTTTTATTTTCTAATGTTGAGTGAATGAGTCCGAGTAAATTCGTTCTCGATTCCGATTTCGATCAATATAATCGACCTATCTCGAATGCTTTTTATCAATTAGCATTAATATAAATGATTAAACGATCGTTATATATTCACACTTATTTCTTCCTTGCATTGGTTCTTAGTGTGTTCCTTCTCACTCTGTATACAATAGAAACATCTATATCTACCATGAGTGTAACAATAGACTCAGCGAACAATAAACTTTTTCCAAATAATTCTCTATCTGAATTTATTCAATATAAAAAAAATAATATGAAATATTTGATAAGCTTTATTTTTCTATCATAATTTGTTTTTGTGTAGCTGGTAACTTGGAGAAAGACATGATTTATCCTGAACGATTCGATCTATCGAAGCTATCAAAAAATAGAGATATTGTTGCTTTTGAAGTTCGCCACTGATCATATAATATTCAGGGAGCGAAATGAAGTTAACATTGACTAATCCTGGATGCGTCACATCTAATATTATTCAACATGAATTCATGCTTATTCTCGATAAGTTCCGAAATTTTTTTCAAGAGTCATTCTATTGTTAAATATATATGCTGAGAAATATCATAGGTTTATATAGTCACGTTCAGATCATAATTCGTCATTCTAGAAAAATAATTTTAATACATATGCATCGATAAGTTATGTGTTGAATCGAAATACTCCTTATGATTTTTGAGTTCGATTGAGGGTGTGGGTGTGGATGTGTGGGTGGGTGTGGGTATGAGTGTGGGTGCGGTTTTAATGTCCTCTTCACCCACACCCACACCCACACCCCACACCCCACACCCACCCACACTCACCCCATTTGAAGATTCTAGTTACACGATTGAAACGTTAACATGTTGGTTACTTTATACCCACCCTCATACCCACATCTACACTTTCGTCATGAAGTAAAATATAATGAAGAGAGTTCTCTTCTTCAACTAATAAATTGATCATCATAGTTATAGGCTCTTCTATAAAGTTCTTTGTTCGATATTCTACTTCCTTTTCAACCTCTATCATACATTGAATATATAAAGATTCGTTACACGTTGATTAAATGCTATAACGCACAATCTCACGTGTTCTCTTTTTCTACACTCATTAGTATATAACGCAGTTAGATTGTTACGAAATAATATGCAGTGATTGGTCACAAGCTGACTCACTATAATCGTGTACTATCGTACATTCTCTGTATCACACGTGTCAACATATAATAAGAGTAATTTATTACAAATCAATCATGCATATCTTGGTTGGAAAAAGAAATATATAAGATTGACTACACATGAAGGTGTCTAGTCAAACAAATTTTCACAACTATGATGTCTGAAGAATCTGAGTATCACGAAAAAGACATTTTCATCATGGAAGATAAAACTTCTGACGATCAGTCAATGCAGGAAAACGAACTCAATTTTCCTTGGCCCTTAATTAATGCAATTAAAAATACACGTGAATTATTTGGGAAGAATTCTGATCTTTACAAGCGAAAGTACTTATTCGATCATCTGCTACTACTAATGGCATTCATTACCTTCATGATTAGTCTTGTGTCTGGTGCAGTCTTCTGGCAGTTTCTATATTGTAGACAGATGACACACGTTTTTCTGGTTGTGCAAGGCTCATGTGGTCTCGCCATCGTTTCGGTCAATTTTTTGGCAGTAGTTTTTGGGTAAACACGTTGCTATTTTTCTTGTCAGGTCATTTAGAATGACCGTAGTACGCCTGGCAGATGTACCGTACTAGTATCCGAAATCTACGTTAAGCTCACAACCGCGTACTGCAAAGGATGTTATTCGGTTTGTCCAAGCGTAACGCTGTTACATTTGAAACACTGTTCTCTTTAATTATGTAGGAAGATTTGAGAGCTAGATGCTTCGTTCAAGCCCTATTCTATGAGGCTTATTACATTCTATTTATACTTAAAGAGTGACATTTTGTGGCTGAAGTCTCCTACTTCTAGAAGAGTTTTATGATTGTGTAATGCTGTTACACAAAAAGACTCTTCTTATCCAGTACCACTGATAAAACTCTAATTTCTTGTGGAAGTATTTCTCCAAGTGAAACATTTCCTAGAAATAGTTTTGTAGAGCCTCGATTTGAAGTTGCTACATCACAATGAGACTTCATTAGCCGTACACTAAATTTGAAATTGAACAAGAATTCACAAACTGTTCTTGACGACGAAAGTCATAATTAAGTAGATCATTTTGTAGAGCATTAAATTCTGCATCGAATGGTATATCTCGCAGAATATTTTGAAAAAACTCCTAGATGAGAAAACTCAAAATACGATTCTTGAAAAGTTTGAAATCTGATTTATGATGTCAAAATCTAATATTTTTAAAGAACAAGTATCAGATTCGTAATTGGCGTTAAAACTGAACTGACTAATGTTCATTCAGATTTGCCTAACTCGAAAAAAATTCTCAAAAACTCGATTAGCGAAGTGTCGCGTTACTGTATGGACAAACCGTATTAAACATTGCTAATTGTTCTATTGATTTATTTTAGCAAGTCAATCAATTTATTTTGCTTGATACCATTGACATCTCATTCTATTGGCCTAGTTTTTAATTAACAACTACATTCTTGAACTTCTTTTCGCTACCCTTTCTTGACACACTATCAGAGAGGTTAAAAAGATACTACTTTTTTTGCAATTACTAGCAGATGGGCTTCGTATCAGGGATATCTATACGAAATTTTGGACCGATGAATAAATCTATCCAGATAGACGAGAGCTCGTTTTAAAGCATTTTTACAAATCAAAACGTGCACTTTTACTAAAAAAAGAATGCCAAAAGAACGATTTATATTTTTGAAAAAAACAAACTTGTGGGGATTATTATCTTCAAATGTTCAATTTTTATCCAAAGATTTTTTTGAAAGATAAAAAGCTTACATTTTAACACATAAGAAGATATTTTATTTATAGGCTTTCTCTGACTAGGTAGAATATTTTTACATAATAAGCTGAAGAGAGAGAATATATTAGTGAGACTGGGCGCTTTGTAACAAACAGGAGCAGTTGTTCTGTGCCAGAAATTCTAAGACAGACAGAGTTTTATATTTATCTTTTTATTCTCCTGGTCAACAGAGTGAAACTTTTGCCCACAACTCATCGTTCAAACTTTTCTTCTGACTATATATACACTACTAAAGATGTTGTTTCACTCAACGTAAAATTTTATGCGATGCTTGATGTGACGAGTTTGTGATTTCTCTTGGATCTATCTTTTATGCGCTCATTTTGAAGAGGAGTGCAGCAAAGCAACACATTGAAAGCCAAATTTGCATATTAAAGTACGGTTAATAAAAATATTTATATTTTAGAGAATCCACCAGAGTTCTGCATGTAGCTCAGAATTAGCGTAACTTAAGTCTAAATTTATTTGGTTATAGGAGAATCTAAAACGAACCTCCAAAATATTCGATTGTGTTTCTTCATTTTGACCTATGTTAGCTTTATTATCCACAATGTATATATAAAATATCAGATCGAGGTTTCTTCATTGATTAATATCAACGGGTCGTCACTCTTTTGTAGTTGGACTCCAAGACATATGGTACACTATTCGAAAAACGAACATCTAGCTATTAAGTACGTCTTTGTTTGTGTGAATATTCTCACTGTGTTTTGTATCATTTCCCTAGAGAATGTACTGAGTTAGGGGTACCCGAAAAAGTACCCTGTTACCAGTATGTCACAGGAACTTTTGGGTACCAAAGTACTTGGAAGTACTTTCAGGTACCTAAGTGGTACTTTAACAAGTACCCTGCTACAAAATGTGTAGTAACTGGGTACTTGAAGGTACTGATCAGATACTCAATTGGGTACTATTGTATAGTATTTCTAGGTACCCTGTTACAAAAATTTCAGTAAGTTCAGGATCGAACCTGACCTTTAACCTTTTTTAATTTTTGTTTCTCTCAAAGCAATTTACTACATTTTTTTTTCGATTTTATTCAATTTAATTTTTTCAATTCCGAAAACTTAGCAGGGACAATCCCGGGATCTGACTCGACTTGAGTTGGTCAGGTATCCATCAGACTACTTCGGAGTAGTCCTCTCTTAATCTACGATCAAGATCGGCATGTTCTTGATTAAGAAATAGTCAAGAAATAATCCAGAAAAAATTAGTATGAAAATAGATTAATTTCTTATGTTTTACTCAGTTGTTTATATGGAGCCGTGCGTGAAAAAGAAAATGGTGAATGAATAGTCGCTACACAGAACGCGACAAATACAGGGTACCCCGTATAGCTTGCCCCAGTAAAATTACAGATGCGAGTACCCATACAAGTACTTCTTAAGTGAGCGTACTTTTATGGGAACCACACTCAGTACCTACATCAGTATAACTACTGAGAATTTTTGAAGTACCCATATTGGGTACCCTGCTAGGCCTTTCTCAGTACATGGGTACCCTGAACTCAGTACTTTCTCTAGGGTTGGTTCTTCATTGGTCACATTTGGATATTTCAAAGCGATAATGATTGCTACTATTCCTACGACGGCTATAAAATAACTGCTACAGGATTTATTATTGCCACTTTAATACTGCAATATATTGTTGGGTCGTGGTATTTATACAATCGTATGTTCAACAATCCATCGTTTTTATGTTGGCTTAGAAAGATCATCACACATCGCCTTGATAAATGTTCTGAAGATAGTATATATCTCAACAAAAAAATTATACTTGCCATTCAAGAAAATATTGAAAATATTTCTATTCATCCTCAACAGATTATCAACATTTGATGGGAACAATTTGTCTTTTTTCCTAAACTGAAAGAATATTCTAACCATAACAAGCGCTTCTCTTTTCTCAGCTAGAAACATGCAAGTTTCTGATTCGCTTAATAACTAGTTAGATTAAAATCCATCTATTGCAGATTTAAAAACAATAAAAAAATTCTCTCTTGACATTAAATATTAATTCAAGTTCAATGGTTCACTTCTGTGGGTATGGCTGTGGGTTGGGGTGGAGATATGGGTGTGACTTTATCTTCTGTTAACTCACATTCGCACCCACACTAATGTCTTAACAGTGAATGAAAATTAGTTATATAGAAACGAAGATCTATCACTTAATTAGATTTATGTTGATCTAATGAATTTCAATTCAAAATATCGATTCAAATAAGAATTTTCACCCATTTTTTTTTAAATAAACTTTATTTCATATAAAATATAGACAAAAAACATAGGAGAAAATGAAAGAAAACAAAAATCATAGAAATTGTACTTGAACGAAAAAATTAAACCAATCTATCATAAATGGATCGAAATCAGCTCATTACCATTTTGTACTCATTAGCATATTGTCTGTCTATTCTGCATCATTGCATTACTTCCATTTAAACTAACTGTAAAATAATCAATATGAGAACTACATATTTCATCAGTGGTCAAGGAAGTTAAATTCGCTTGGTATTTTTATATAATAAAAAATGCGACTTTACATTTTTCATGAGAGAACAAAAATCTCTTTATGATCAAATATTTCACGGAGAAAAAACTGAACAGGTTCTTGATTGTGTACTAATTAAATATTATAACCAAACATTATTATCCTACAATACCTTGATTATGGCGTATATTGTCAAAAATAGATTTTTGTTATTGTTTCAAATTTTCCATGAAGTAAGAGTGTAGTAAAACACAAACTGAAGATTTCAATTCATTTAAAGAAAAATAAATAATGAATTATACAATAAAATCAAGAAGTATACTAACAAATAAATGTATACCTTTGACTATAATACAAAAAACTAAATAGACATATTTAATTCACGAGTACTTACAATCACCTAGTAATCAGTAACAAAAACTCGATAAAAACTAAATTTATTTATTTAAATTATTATTCACATTACTATATAGTTTTTCGTTTCGTTACGCTTTACTGTTGATTTGAAATATTGTCTTTTAATTGAGAATTTTTTCATCAAAACTTAGAGAATGAAATTCGGGTGTGGGTGTGGGTGTGGGCATGTGGGTGAGGTGTGCATGAAGAGAAGACCTAGACCCACACCCAAACCCACACTCACACATCCCACCCCACACCCACACCTACACCTACACCCACACACACCCCACCCCACCCCCACAACCGGCGATCTGAGCTTTCGGCGATGAGGCATACAACCACCTGTTATAATACGCAAGTGACAAGAGCTAATCTTATCTACAACTAACTCACACTATTCTTCAAACGATGCAAAATCTTGTATGTAGCTGTTTTAAATATACCAGCAACAGAGTGGTGACTAAGTTAAGTGAGAAAGAGACCAGATGGAGTGAATTAAATATCGCTAGTAACTGTATGCTCTCATAGCCCATTATCATACCGAAAATGATAGTGGTAAGACGTTTTCTATTCTTTGTTCTCAGGTAATCAGAGTATCTTTCACCTTGATTCATCATGCTATTTTGGACAATACTTTTTTTTAGCATCTCAGGTATGATTGTGCTATTTTGTACATATTTCAAAGAGATTATTTTATCTACAATTAGCATATGGTGTATCAAGAGCATGTTATAATGTATCTCAATATAATTTGTGCTCGGCAAATCCGGCATGTGGATGTTTTCACTTTGTACCTTCTTTCAGTTCTGGCATTTGTGGGCTCCTCAATGTCCCTTGTTCTCAACTGGTGCCATGCGCAACTTCAAACAATGCATGTTACCAACCTGCTCATATTTGTGTAAATCATCCAGATTGCCATAATCTTCCTCTTTGCTATCCATTATCGATGACCACGCGAGAAATATGTCCACCTGTACAATACTCGAAACGTAAGGCAGGCGATCAGCTATTTGCAGAATGCAACACATTACTACGTTTATTTTTTTCCATGATAGTACTTTTTCCTCAAGGGTGTGAGTGTGGTTATGGTTTCTATCTTTTATTCGCCTACACCCACACCTAGATTTTAGACCACCAAATGACACATCAATGCATTTTAAATTCAATTATTCACTGCATAAACCATGTTTCAAACACCTCATATAATCTTTTTTACATTTTAATGCTATTTAAGCTTCGGAAGATATTGAAGTTAATGTGATCTTAATAATATTGATATATTTAAGAAAGATTCTTGAAGATTAGTATTAAAATATTGAGTTAATTGTATAAAAAGATTAATGTAAATTATCTTAATCGTTTTATATACTCAAACAATAACTATCGTAAAAATCGAATGTCTTCCTCAAGACAAGCCAAGGAGCAGCCGATATTTTAACCTCATTAGTTTGGGGTTGAGAGCTTTAATTTAACCTGAATATATCTTATTTTTCTCACGGACAGTATAAACACCTTCATTGTCAGTTTCGCATGCATCAGTCCAACAATAGGATCTAGTCAAGAGCGTATTGGAATTGCCATTCGAACAGTTTGATACAAGTTCACTAATATCTAGTGAAACCTCACTGGTATCCTCAATGCGAATGTGTAGAATACCCTTCCGAAGGTCTGTATTAATTATGGATAACATGATGTGATCAGAAATTTTCTCCTATCATGTACAAAGCATCCTCAAAGATGCATATTGAATCCTTAAGATTCTCCAAAAACATAGAAATTATATCTTCTTAGGATTTTCTCAGTTTATGAGTTCCACATAGTTCATTATTTTATTACTTAAATTCTTGTCTGATGTTTATATAAATGATCATCCTACAAAAGATTCTTCATTCTCGCAATTTCGAATAAAATCCTCAGATCTCTATGTTTTCCCACCTAAAGCTTGCATCGAAAAATCTCCGCACAGCAATCTCCAGGTGTAGTTTTCGGGCCAAAAAGATCTTAGCAAGAACTAAAAGTAACATAGGTGTAAGAATTGTTACCAAATCCTTTTTTTATAGGAAACTAGGAAAGGACTTCTGAATTTTTATCTGCGGAACGATCATTCTCAAAGATGAATGTCGTATTTGTTGCGCTTGTTCCCTTGGGAGATGGGATCTCTTCGACAGCGACGATTCCTTTTCTTTTTCGTTCATTGTAGTGATTCCCAATATTCCAGTCGATGCCCGATGGGCACAGAATGGAGTGACTGTTGCTGGAGGTCATGGAGAAGGCAGTGCCACCAATCAACTCTTCAACTCTTATGGTCTCCTCCTTGATTATGATCAAACGATGATCATCGCTGACAGCGGCAATCATCGTATCATTCAATGGAAGATGGGTGATAGGAATGGACAAGCAGTGGCTGGTGGTCATGGCCAAGGAAATCGATTGGATCAATTGAATAATCCAAGCGATGTTTTGATTGACAAAGAGACGAATAGTCTCATTATTTGTGATTCAGGGAATCAACGAATGGTACAATGGTCTCGTCGTAGTGGCACAACTCAAGGAGAAATCCTCATCGACAATATCAGTTGTTGGGGATTGGCCATGGATAATCAGAGATATCTCTACATCTCTGATATCGAAAAACATGAAGTAAGACGATATCAAATAGGAGACAAGAATGGAACTATCGTGGCTGGTGGTAATGATATAGATGCTGATCTTAATCAACTCAGCGTGCCGAGATACATCTTTGTCGATCAACAACAGACTGTCTATGTGTCAGACACCTACAATCATCGTGTGATGAAATGGAATAAAGATGCAAAAGAAGGAATTGTCATCGCTGGAGGTCAAGGCGAAGGGAATGCTCTGACACAATTATCGTACCCTCGCGGACTCTTCGTCGATACATTGGGTACCATCTATGTGGCAGACTGGGGGAATCATCAAGTGATGCGTTGGCCCGAAGGAGCGAAACAGGGCACTGTTATTGTGGGTGGAAATGGTCAAGGAGAAGGAGCTAATCAGTTCAAAGCTCCCGTCGGTTTGTCTTTCGATCGACATGGCAATCTCTATGTCATCGATGAGTATAACTATCGTGTTCAACGTTTTTCAATCAAATAAACTCATTACAATGGAGTTTTTTCTTTTCTTTCTCTCAAATAAATCATGTTAAATTGATGAGCAAAATGTCTACTCTATTCGGTTGCGCGCGACCAGGAATCATCATGGTGGAGCCGTGGCGAGCGTAACGTTTATGTGCGCATGGGAGAGACTCGTACCATTCACATCCTTCCCACTCAAGAAACATGCCAATGAAGGTGTGGGTGTCTGGATCTGAGTTTTGTCTCCATTGACATCCACATCCATTACGACGTTCTGCTCAGTAGTATGATGTGTAGCAACTGACTAAGACAATTAGGTTTTTTACTTTAGAGACCAATGAGGTCAATTTAGTTACAGGCCTAAAATTCCGTGGACCAAAATTCCTATAATCTAGTAGTCCTATTGAGCACTTTGCTTTTTACATTGGCACTTATTTCATACGAGTAATAATTATCTCAAAAGACTACACCACTTCTAATGAAGATTAAAGCAGTCTGCTAAGCTCAATGACGTCCTGTTCAGCATTTTGCCATCCTATAGGACACTACGGTTTAATGAAAACGCATGCTGCTCAGTGTAACAAGTTGCACTAACTTTTCATAAGATTTCGAGTTTTTAGGGAAATTAATCAGTGGAACTTGAACCTGGAACGAAAATCCTGCTTGATTTGCGGTCCAGGCTCGAATTCATGTAACTTCTTTCAAATGGAAAGAATTCGAACAGAAACTATTTATGAAAACTCTTTGAATAGTTGTTATTATTCATGGTATAGAATAGATCTATAGAAAAATCCTGAAAACCATTACATAATCATAATAATGCAAGCGGGACAGAGAGCAAATATCTGACTTCTGTCTTTTAGAAAGTCATTCTTCTCTGACGTCAATGGTTGTAAGCGAAGTGGTAAAATTTATTTTAAAGATCGGATTACTCTAAACCTTGCTGTTGACAATGTATGATATAGAATTAAAAGCAATGGTTTTTATTGATTTAACTTGTAAGCTATATTGATAATGTATGAAAAAGTAGAATGATATATAAAGACACAACTCACATCGCTGAAAATATTCACTTGCTTGACGATTGAATAGATTTCAAAGCTACATGATGATGTCTACTTATTGGCTAACCATTATACTCTTGATTATTAGCAGCGCCTTTGGTAAAACGAATTTCTTTTATTACATGATTTTTAAACGGAGCATTATTATTTATTTATTTTACATAATAGTTTAATTTATTAAAATTAGGAAGATTCCCATGTGTTCGATTACGATCGAACAGCAACGCAGTTACTAAAAAATCACTGGTTAAGAATTCAAATCCGACGTTAGATTTTTTATTTTGATATTTTTATTGTAAATTATTAGTAATTGATAATAAAGGGTGGGGTGGGTGTGGGTGTGGGTGTGGGTGGGTGTGGGCGTGGGTGTGTGAACGTGGATGAAGGTCTCCTCTCTAACTACGCCCACATCCACCATCCCATACCCACACCCCACCCACCCCCACACACAGCCACACCCTGTCAATGACGGTCTATTGAGGAAAAGAAAAACAAGGTTTTTAAGGTGTCTGGCGTAACGACAGAAAAATTACTGGGAGATTCAACCCTTCCCCGCTTGACTATGTCTGCAGAGGAGGTGGAGATTCTCTGGAAACGCTTCTAGAACGGCTCAACGCTTTCTAGAGGACAGTGGCGAAGCCGCCTCTAGCTCGTGCCTTGTCCATGTGTGTGGAGAAGGAGGTCCTAATTTTTCTCCCTTATGCTTCCACACTGCCTTTAGATCGTGTTTGACAAAACAGAGTTTGAATGTTATTGATACAGATTAGGAAATAGTATATCTTAATATTGAAAGTACTTTTTTTCCACTTATGCTCTAAATTTTTGATATAACACAGTACGAAATGAACGTAGTAAATTCAATATACAATTGACTGATAGTAGAAGTGAAATATCACATTGATTTTTTTAATTAGAATTTTAGGTATCAAAAGAGATCAATTCAAATGAACTTTACAATTCTATAGTTCAAAGTCATAGCGATAAGGATCATAGTACTACGTTATATAAATTTTTACAAAACGAAATTTATATCAAAGAGATCATTTCTGATTCAGATTTGACTTAGCTCATTGATTTTATTGCATTGATTATTCCAGTAAAAAGCTTTTTTATCTCTATCCCAACTAAGTGCTTGACGGAATGTTCGTAAATTTCGGACACTAATAATGCCCATTTGATACTATTCAATAATTTTAATCCATTTTCTAAACTATGCCGAATAGGATTTTAAAAGTGTATATAATATTTTTAACTCGAATCGGTTTTTTTTCCAATGTATATTCTAGCATCTGTATTTCAGCGAATAAATGTATCAAATATCATAATACATATTATATTTGTATTGATCTTTGCAAGATAATTTAATTATATCTCATGTTGAATATCGTATACTTGAAATTTTATATAGTATTGAGAAATCAATTTTATAATTAGAATATTTTCATACCAATTTTCTTTAAATATATTCAATACCAATAATCATATTATATTTATTGATCAAATACCTGTTTAACCATTTAATATAAATCGTAGTCATTTTGTTTATCAATTAATTCATTAATCGAACTAAACATTTGAATAGTAATCTTGAGAATAGTATTATTACTACGTCTTATTTGTAAACATGATTGATTTTCATATTTATCGTATCCACTCTAAGAAGTAGTTGAAACACTGAGGACAAACACATTTGCACCTAACTTTATTCTGAATACAAATTAGAGCAGAATAGGTAAGTCTATTTCTAACAAACTACTTTTAGTCTTTATTATCTAATCAATCCTAAGTCAGAGGAATATTCTGATCACATATTCCAAAAGAGCACAAAATTCTGATTTTAGTTATTTTTGAT